AAAGAACAGATGGCTTCTGATCCTGATTTTTGTCTTTTCTCTGTATGTCAAACTAGTGTTAACCACCACCCAGTGTACGACATATGGCTAAAGGACCCTTATTACAAAAAGTCTTGCTTACTATTTACAAAGCATTCACTCAAGCTAAATTCTCATTCACATCCTCTATGTGAGAAACTTCTTTATTCCAATGCTATAGTACACGCTATAATTGAGTGCTCTGACCATAACAGACGTGACAAATTTTGGCATGATTTAGAATCCTTCTTAAACGCAAACTATGTCAATTACCTGAAGTCATTATCAAATTATAAATTTGTATGTGTAATCTTAGCCGAAACTCTATATTTAGTCTACCTGACAACAATACAAGACTGCATAAGTGTATACCAAGATTCACTTTTGCAGTCTTGTGGAAAGAACACTCAAACCTGATTAATTGCATTAGTATAGTTATAATATTTCTTTTCCAAAATATTACTTTATTTAATTTATCTGTATATTTTTTCATTGATTCTTTTTTTTATAGATATTAATTTATTCACACTCTTTGTACATTTAATTTCTAGCCTTTTACTTTCTATTATGTTTGTATGACGTTTATCTATGTTGTAATTTCCAAAATTGGAGGAAATAAAGAAGTGTATATATTGTCTCTCTCTATTCCAGTTTGTTCACAAGGAACGTATTGTCTCTCTCTATTCCAGTTTGTTCACAAGGAACGTACTGATTTTATCTATTACAGTTTGTTCACGAGGAACGTACTGTCTCTCTCTATTACAGTTTGTTCTCTAGGATAGTACTGTCTCTCTCTATTACAGTTTGTTCACGAGGAACGTACTGTCTCTCTCTATTACAGTTTGTTCTCTAGGATAGTACTGTCTCTCTCTATTACAGTTTGTTCACGAGGAACGTACTGTCTCTCTCTATTACAGTTTGTTCACGAGGAACGTACTGTCTCTCTCTATTCCAGTTTGTTCTCAAGGAACGTACTGTCTCTCTCTATTCCAGTTTGTTCACAAGGAACGTACTGATTTTATCTATTACAGTTTGTTCACGAGGAACGTACTGTCTCTCTCTATTACAGTTTGTTCTCTAGGATAGTACTGTCTCTCTCTATTACAGTTTGTTCACGAGGAACGTACTGTCTCTCTCTATTACAGTTTGTTTACGAGGAACGTACTGTCTCTCTCTATTACAGTTTGTTCTTAAGGAACGTACTGTCTCTCTCTATTACAGTTTGTTCACGAGTAACGTACTGTCTCTCTCTGTTACAGTTTGTTCTCAAGGAACGCACTGTCTCTCTCTATTACAGTTTGTTCTCAAGGAACGTACTGTTTCTCTCTATTCCAGTTTGTGCTCTAGGAACGTATGGCTCAGAATGTAATAATTTCTGTCATTGTTTGAACTATAGTAAATGTGATGTTATAACTGGTCAATGTCCTAATGGTTGTCAGATAGGATGGTATGGTGGTAGCTGTAATACTAGTAAGTTTAGAATGGATTTCATAGCTCCTTTTTTGATTTAAAGGCTATTGAATTGCCCAATGAAATTTGTTTTCGTTTAGTTCATTGATATTCACAATATCCTTTCAACATATTGAAGTCGTGATGCCCACAATCTAATTCGACTCTATGATTTCATTAAAGAACATGTATCGTAGGATTTTACAGCTTCACTACTTCAACACGTAAAATAGCACAAACGAATTATTGTTTTCATGGTGGAAAGTGGTCCTGTTTTTCAAAAATATTGGTGTGATTCAAAAGGACAAAAATGGCTGACAGAGATATTTATGCTACAAAATATTTTTCTTCAGGTTGTTCGACTATCAATAAATATGGTGCAAAATGTCAGAAGAGATGTGATGCTAGACAATGTATTGGTATCTCTACTTGTAATCATGTAACAGGAAAATGTATCAATGATTGTAAACCAGGATATCAAGGAATTGATTGTATTCAAGGTTGGTAACATCAATTCCTCACCTCAATAACTCACCTAGTTTAGGAATTAACGATTAGTTAGATTTATCCATTATGGTTGATAGTACTATTTGCTATGCCCTTGAACACTACTATATGGTCATCTAGTTAATAACTCACCACATCTCAGTGAAACCGATAAAACATACTCTAAACCACCATCTTGACTGATCGGACCACAGCAACATCGGGTACACCGAGCGCTGATTTGGGAACACTATCCTTTCCTTCCACATACCCATTATTTTAGCATTTTCATTTGTCAGTGTTTGAAATGGGCTAAATGTGCGATCCCACTCCACTTCAATTGGAACATAAATGGTTCATTATTGCTACGAGTTGACCAAGTTATGACGTAAATGTTGAATACATGTACGAATCAAGTTAAATGGTATTTCCGAAAGTGACGCCATAATGACCTTATGGACATACATATTACACAACGCAGTAAACATATTTTGAATGCATTAAATCATATATATATGTAGTTTAGGCACAATCCATTTTCTGTTTTCTTTTAAGAATGTGAGACTGGTTTGTATGGAGCAGACTGCAGTAAGAAATGTTCAGATAGAAAATGTAAGGACAATACTAAATGTGACAGTAAAACAGGAGAATGTATTGATGGATGTCAACCAGGTTTTCAGTCAATTGATTGTACTCTAGGTATTTCCTTATTTAATTTATATTTCTTAAAGGACTGTTCAGAATTAGGATATGATGAAAACACCCAATTTGTTACAGAAAAGACAAAAATCTACACAAGAAAATCAAATTGTACACCTATTTACAAGTTGAAAATTAACTTGTAACTGATTCGCCCATTTATCTACTTTATTTAGAATGTGATGAAGGCTTCTATGGATATAATTGTTTATCAAATTGTTCAGCAAGGTTTTGTCAATCAGAAGACCAATGTAATAAAACAGATGGAGCCTGTGATTGTTTGAATGGGTATCAAGGAACTGATTGTACTCTTATAAAAGAAGCCATTACCGATGGTGGAAGGGAAACAGGTAAGTGCTTTGGTCGCATTGTAATGGATATACGTATTTTTTGCATACTTACTAATTTGAGCGATGACTCGCCAAGATTCAAGATAACAATATGTCATGAATACAAAACACATTTCTGTTGAAGTAATTGTGTTTAATCTATATGTGTATTATTCAATATTAGCTCAATATGTCATTTTCAGGTTCGGACACAGCTATAATAGCAGCAGTAGTATCAACATTTGTCGTTGTCATCATTATTGTTGTTATAGCCGTATTTATCATCATGTAAGTGTTCTAAGGAGGTTATAGTTTGGTTTTCGGGGAAGGGAGGGTTTGATTCTCCCAAATGTACAGGCCTAGGGTGGAGCAGACACTTTATTTAGAAATTAGGATTAAGGGTCTTGATATTGGGTTTTCTTCTGTTCTTATTCTGATCTGAAATTAGAAAAAATAACTCGCCCGATGGGCGAGAAGTATAGTATCTGTTATGTACTGATTGTTTTTAGTTTACTATGAACAATATTATCATTTATGTTCTTATTTTTTGAATATGCAACTATCATTTTCTGCTTATAGACATGGGGGAATTTCTCTTGAAGGCTCTTATAGTGGGCATGAACTATCTTGCTTGCTCGATTGCTGGTTGTATTAAACGGGACAACAAAGGGTGCTATGCCTACATTATGATGAATGTTTAGTCCTATAGGTCTTGCTGTATTCAATGTCTCAATCCAATGGGCCTCCCTAGATTGACGGAATTTGGTAGTTTCATCTTCGGGCAAGTCAATTTCTATACGCTCAATTGGGATTAGGGTGAGATCGTCTATTGAATGGTCGTCGAGGTTGAAATGATTAGAAACAGGCTTGTCTTTCTTTAATTTGATGTCTGACCTATGAGCATTAAAGCGAGTTCGTAAATTATTCTTAGTTTCTCCTACATATTGTTTGGGGCATTTCTTGCATGAAATTAAATATATTACATTCGAATGTTCACATGTTAGATGTTCCTGGATCGGGTACCTTTTATTCGTAGAGTTGCTTACAAAATAATGAGTTTCTGATATAAAGGGACATGTTTTGCATCTACTGGACAAACATGGAGCACTTCTTAAACCTGGAGGTACTTCGGCATAAAGTCTGTTTTTAGCTGCTATCTGTGCTAAGGTGGAATTTTTTATGTTTCGTAAAAATCATTTAGAGTAACCACGCTCTTTCAGTTTTGAGAAAACAATCGTACAGGCTTGGTTGAAATCAGAAGATCTTGTACAAATTCGATGAAATCGTAAAACTTGTGACTTAATTATACCAGAAAAGGTATGTTTTGGGTGAAAGGAGCTCTTGTGCAAGAGTTGATGAGTATCAGTTTCTTTGAAATACACTTTAATATCCAGTTTATTTGTTTCTGCTATGGAATCTCCCTTAAAGACTGTGGTATCGAGAAAGTCTATGCTTTTGTCACTCACGTTTGCGGTTAGTTTGATAGAAGGATGGTGGTTGTTGAGAATTTGTGACATTGACACAGCAAGTAACGGGGAATTATGTTATTACTTTTTTATGTAGCCACTCCAGTTAGGGTCTAAAGACTGCGCTAGAGAACAATCATCTGTTTGATGACCATCACATCTCCCTCTCCAGGGACTATATGACTCGAACAAAAGGTGCACACCAAGGAAAATAAGACTAGTTTGTCAAGTCCACTGAAACTGAAAGTTGTTGAAACACACTATTTTATTGGTTGTTTTGCCCAGTGTAATTCGTTTAAAGCAGAGGTCATCAGATTAGGTTAAAGGTTAATGATAAGAAGAAACAATAATTTTTATTAGACTGATTTCCTATTAAACGCAAGACATAACAAAACTACTCATCATGGATAAACTCCAATCAGTATCAGGTTCACGTTGAGCATCATGGAAAAAACCTTTCATTCCCTATAAATGTTGATTCGACAATTTACATTCTTTGCAGGAGAAAACGTAGATCTGCGAATGGTAGTCCAACGAGGAAAAAATCCGTCAAAATGGATTCTATAATGGATGATGTAGCTACTGTCAAGCCACAAGTTCGTATCAGAGCTGAGGGTATGATTTAACAATCTGTAATTAATAACAAAAATTGTAACAAGTAGTTGATTGCGAGACTGACAGAAATATCGCAGCTTGAAATTTCTTATATTCCAATCTACGATTGTCTCTTTTCATCTCTATGTTTGATCGTTTTCAAGAACTAGAATTAAATGAACTTGTTGGTACCTGATGGTGCTCGTGAAGACAGGTAACGTCTTACTACAGTTCTATGTTCTTACAGAGTGAAATGCAGCTTTGTGAACCCGCTCTTGTTCTATTTCCAACTATTGGGAGATCTTCAACGTGCAGAGTCTGCAGAGCAAGGGGCCTCTGGTTTATTGTTTCCACCGAACCACTACACGTTCGTGCTATATCAGAATCTCTGATTACTGTGTTATTGACTGGGTATAATCAGGTTGATATCGTTTCTACAGACCACTCTTGTTGCTATCTTTACATGTTGCTGTGTGTCTTGATTATGACGCACAATCTGCATTTCCAGGACCAATCTATGAAAATTCAGACGAAATTCGAGAAGCGACCGAAGCAACAGTTTCAGTTGAACAAAGCAGAGATGACGAAGATGAACCTAGTCAGATGAGCGATGAGGCAGAAAACAACCCATATTACAACAACCTGTCAGCTCAAACAGACTTTACCCTGGAAGAACTGGAAGAATTCGTCATTAAAACCAATTCTCGTAAAGAATTTAATAGTTTGTATACGGTAGGTAGGATATCCAGTGAATCTGGGCAGAATTTAAGGAGGTATCACATATTTAGCGAAGGCAACATTGGTTTCTTTACAATATCAAACGCACCAGTTTCAAAACTCAAGACTTGTTATTGAATCTATGGAATTAACGCTCGGATATTATCATAAGTTTCTTAGATTAATGGCTTCCAATTAACGAAATGAAAACAAGACTTAATGAAGATGACATTCATAATAAAACTTGTTCTTGATTTTTCAATAGGCTCTATTCGATGATTTTACCTCAAGTTATGATGTATCAAATATACCAGAAAACCGCAAGAAGAACAGATTTAAAG